TAAACCCGATAACTGGCTATGTCACCCTTGACAGCAGAAACTGTCAACAAGTAACAGGGACTCAGTATTTTACCCAGACATGAACACGTAGATGCCTCATGGAGCGGGTCGACCCGATGCTGTGATACGTCACAGCGTCCACCATACTGAATGTGGCCTGTGTGCCAGTAAGCTAATACAAGGGAATGGATCGAACTTTAGAAAGTAACGCTCTACAAAGTATTTTAAGTAAATACCTGTCATTGACACATTTTCTAACACACACTAATATATTTGGTCATCAAAGAAATTACTAAACACAGAGTTTGTGACTTTTGATGTGATTATTTTTTTTTATGTGCGAGGTAAAACACGGAGTATTTTACCTCACTGTGGCGTAATTTTGACAAATTTTTGCAGAATGGCACAAGTGGCCTGCTGAAACATAAATCTTCCAACGGTATCAATCATTCTAGAATTGGCTAGAAATGTGACAAAAATACACAATATATGGGCACACCCCTTTTCCCAGCACTGCATAACATGGACTAAGATATTATTATCACTATCTTTATTAAATATTGATATTCATAAACATCCACACCCTACCAAAAGAATTAAAAGTGAGTTTGTGCTGAGATGACCCACCGTTAGTCTCATTAACTCTTCATGTATGAGGGATTTTATGTTTTTTATTTGTGTTTATCTTTTTGTTATTCTTTAGCTTTAGTCAGACAACAAGTGCACAACTCCAAGAGGTTAAATATTACCCAGTAGGACAGTGCCAAGTTCAGTTTTAAGGAGGACCTAAAAATGGAGGTGAGGAGAGCATTCAGCAGAAAGCCAAATGCAAGAAATACCATTTAAAGACACCAAGGGCTGCTGACAAGATACAGTAACAGTGACATGGACATGGCATGAAAACAATGTTCGAGGGAGAATGAAGGCAAGCCTGAATGAAACAAACCAGGAAATCAAGTGGAACAAAGCAGCAAAAAGAAAATCATGGACTGTGAAATCAAAATTTAGACAGAACCAGGAATTCATGGACTGGAATCCACCTCAATAAGGAGATCAATTTCTGCTTACTCCAAGAAAGCTCTCTGTGTTACTGTGGTTTAATCCACAAAAACTTTCACTATAAAAATTGGGTCTTTTTACAGTGAATTAAGAACATAAACAGCCTCCTATTCTTAGAACATTGATGGTCTTAATAATGGTTTCCTGGAGAATCGTATAAATGTGGTGGGTTTTTGTATCATGGCTAACTTACTGCTACAGTCTTTGGACGGCATTGAGAATCCACTTAACTTTTGCACCAAGGTCATACTGGTTAATAGTCACAGAGGCACAATATCGAGATAGATCCTGGTTGATGCCAATGGTTTTACTAGAGTACATTTAGGTCTGTTTACTTGTACTTTTACTAAAGTACATTGTTTGAGTACTTTCTCCACCACTGGTTGATGCATTGGTAAGATATCCATGGCGTGGGCTCCACACAGACCGACTGGTAATGAAGGATCTTAAAGTGGAGTGGCCACACAGGCCTCATCTCAAGGATTAAATCTTATCGGAACCAGAGGTCTTTTTCTGTTGTCCCAGCAAGGTCTGAGCTCCACATGCAGTAACTTGATACAGGGTGTGGCAAAAGAATCACAATTTCATGATCACATATTTTTTTTACTTAATTAGGCATCTTAGTGGTCAGACCACATCCTTAGAGATAACATATAACAGCAGGTGGGCAGAGTGAAGGGCACATTCGTCTCCAGATCAAAGACACTGACAGGAGAAAATGTTGGGGTTTGTTGCTTTCAACCTTGGTGCCGTTTTCCTTATTGCCAAATCCAGTAAGTAACATTTAGCTAAATACTATCATTCTCTTGTTCATAATTTTTCCCCCTAATCAAGGGTCTCCTTTGATGCTGTTGTGTGAAAAATTGTATCTGGATATCTTCCTGTGTTAGGTCATGGTTCTGAGATTATCAATGGGAACGAAGTGAAGCCACACTCCTTGCCTTTCATGGCTCTGCTGGCATCACATGAGTCAGTTTGTGGAGGAACTTTAATTGATTCCAAGTGGGTTCTGACTGCTGCGCACTGCGAGGGGTAAGAACAATTCTCATTTTTCTTATTTATATGCATTTGGCGTGCATTTCAAGTAGCATTAAAAATGGAAAATGCAATCTGCTGTTACATTGACTGATTTTGCCTTGCTCTCTCAACAAACTTAAATAATGTTTAGATGTAAAAGAAAACCAGCAGTCCACAGTTTCATTAGAATTATTTTTTTTTAATAATGTACATTTCTAAGTTCACGCAGCGGCTAGTCAGAGAAGCAATAATGCCAAATAGTTTTTGTTCTGTTTTGTATAAATAGATGTATCCTTCATTACTCAAAAGTATAGTTAAGGTGGGTTGCAACTTCTCCATACCAATTGTGATGAAAAAAATATTAAAGATGATGTGTAATTCATTAGTTTTGGTATACAGCAGTAATAGATCTAGTGGAAAGAATGTTATATTAAAATAATTAATTACATCTACATAGTAAACCATTTCTATCTCATTATTGTGCAACCTCTAATCTGTAAGATCTTAAATTTACCATACTGGTACTATGTTATCGCTCTCTCAGCATGAGCATTGCATTCCTGGGAGTGCACTCCATCTCAAGCCACACTGAAGGAAAGTACAGGCAGATCCTCAGAGTGGCGAGGCGTTTTCCTCATCCTCATTATAATCCCTATACAGATGACAATGATGTCATGTTGCTCAAGGTAAGTTTGCTTTCCAAAAGGAATGATTTCATCTGTTTAAAATAACATTTCATACATAGGGGACATATTTAAAATTAAGACTCTACTTATATCAAGCTGATTCTTATTTCACAATTTACTTTCAATTAATTATCTTTCATTTACTGATGTCTTGAAACATCCATCCATTTTCTGTACATCCTTGTCCCTAGTGGGGTTAGGAGAGTTGCTGGTGCCC